TCTTTTTCTTGCTTATTTTCTTCAGAGAAATCTTACAGAGCCCACATGAAGGGGAAACTGAACCAAGGAAAAACTCAAAGATGTTAAAAAAAAAAAGGCAACAGGTAGTAAAGCCTTTGTATGAGCTGTCTGAACACAGTGTACCAAAGCATTCTTCTGGGGAATCTCAGCAGCTATAGATACTTACTGAACTGCTCTCCTGAAGAACAATGAAGAAAATCAATAAGAACCAATAAATCTTCTTTGGCTGTAGACCAAGAATCAATCCCAACTTCCTTTGGCTGTTAGCAAAACATTCCCTCTTGGTTTTGGTAAGTGGGAACAAGGAAGTCTTTAATATAAGCTCTTTGAAATTGCTTAGGGAATGTGGAGGGGAGAGAGTTTTAGATTTGGAGTATACCTGAGGAAAGTGCAGCTGCAGAAGAACAGATCCACACTGGACTGGCTACCCAGACTGGAGTATCTCAGTAAGGTTTCACCACAACAGTCATGTGCCATTGGCTTTTGAGCCCTGAATGTGGTCTGGTTGGATCTTAATATTTTGTGATAGATAAAAATGTAAAGAATATGTAAACAGACTTTAGATGGTATTGGTATGTCAAAAGATGACATTTGATCTCTCTTTTCTTGCATTTTAGTGCTTCCAGGGCTATGTATATGCAAAGATTTTTATATATGTATTTCTCTGCCTTTGTCTCAGATGTCAAATTATTATTTTTAGAAAGAATGAGGTAAAACTGGTTTACTCTTTCACTTTTTATACTTCAGTTTCTAGTCTTCCTTAAGTGCACCCTTTTGTTTGCAAGATGCTTTGTTATGCTCATTACATTTCCTATGGGAATTCTCCTTCCCAAGAATTAGCTCTTACTGGCTGTACAGAGCACCTGTATTGTGCAATAAATTACCCCACTTACCCAATCTTACAGCTTTCATGAAATGGAAGTTTGCTCCTGTTAAAAAATAAACCTGTATTTTGCCAAGGAAAAGGCTGTCCTTTGGTGCAGGGTGGAAATTCTGCACTGGTTATGCAGTTTGCCTCAGAAAAAGGTGCTGCCACACAAATGACTTTACCAGGTATGTTGCACACAATCGTTAAATGTTCAATTTTCACCTCAACAGTTGTAAAAAACAATTTTCTAGCTTGTACCGCTTCAGGTGTTTGATTCTGCTGTTTCAATACTTGGGCTCTATGGTCTCTCTGCCTTCCTGAGCTGAACAGTTTAGTTGCTGCTTTTTATTTTTAACAGATGCAACCTGTTTGCATCAGATTGAACATCTTAATTCTGCAGTGTGCTCTGTGCAGATGGTAAAAAGGAAGGAAGAAGCTTTTGCTGTTAGAGCTGATGATGCTTTAAGCCACACAGCACAGCAGCAGCTCCTTGTTCCCATCACAGGGCACAGCATAGCCACCTGAGCAGGGTCTCTGGTCACCCGAGTGGGTCTCTCTGGTGCTCCTCTTTGGCCAGCCCAGGCTGAAATGGCTCTTTCTCTCAATTGGAGAAGAGGAAGGTTGGGATTCTCTCAAAAGCGGGGCAGCAGTGCCCTCTTCTGGGCAGCTCACAGGATTTCCATCCCCTCGCTGGTGGAGAAGGCAAAGAGGGAACCCCCCGGGAAGGAGCCAGAAAAAGGTTCTCTGCACTCGGCAGGACCCTGCAAGTCTCCCGGACATGGATGCAGGTACCTCTCAGCATTCCTTCTGCCTGACTTTCCTGGGTTGGAGTTTCTACAGACCTTTCTTAGCTTCTCCTACAGTCATCTTAGCAATTTCCTGGCAAAACACTCACTACTGTTGCCTCCATTATTGACTTCTCAGCCTCCTTGAGTTTCTCCATGGATACACAGAGCTCCTGTTTAAATGTCAGTGTATCACCAAGAGAACCATTTAAAGGCTGGGACAGCTGTGTCAGTTTGGGTCTTAGTTTATTTGGGTCTTAGCATCATAAGTCAGTTTGGGTGTTAGCATCATAGTTAACAGGCTTTGGTACAAACACTAGGATTCAAACATGTAACTGCACAGCTCTGGTAGCAGACAAACTGGTCCAAAATGTCACTCAGGAAACAGGCCATGAATCCAGCCTTCTCTTCCACATCTCTTGATTGACAAAACTGGGTTGTAGGGACTGTAGTCTTCCTTAAGTGCACCCTTTTGTTTGCAAGATGCTTTGTTATGCTCATTACATTTCCTATGGGAATTCTCCTTCCCAAGAATTAGCTTGGTTGTAGGGACTAATGTTAAGTGGTCTGCAAGTAGCAATAGTCAAGAGCCAGTTTTACATCATTAGGGCTACACCAGGTAGTAAAAGGTCATAACCTGCTGCAGATTTTTAGAAGCTTGACAATTCAGAAAGCATGAAAGCTCTGCACTGCTTCCAGCTGTAGAGGTAACAGCAGCTCCACATCTTCAAGTTCACAAACTAAACATCTCCCACCTTGGTGTTCCTACAAGGGAGCAAAGTCAAGTAGTTTCCTATTGTGCAGATGCACCCAGGATCACCAGCTAATCCACATTTTCTTTACTGTTGATGTTTTATTTTTGTAAGGACACATTAGTGATGTAGGGGGAGGGACACTGCCATGAAATAGGCCTCCAGGTGGTAAGAGAAGCAGCTTGCTTTGATTAACCCTCCATGAGCCACTTACCTGATGGTATCACAGTAACCATCCAAATGAGGCATCCCTAACCTCACCTGGTGAGCTGAAGGATGCAGTGAGGTGCTTGTGCTCCAAACAGTTGCTGCTTAAATCACATCCAGATTGCAGGCTTTCTGCAAGCCACTCCTCAGCAGCACCAGGCAGCAGTGACCAGGCTGCAGGGCCTTGTGAACATCATGGGTATGCTGGGGTATTTCTCCTTGGAGAAATCCTAGGATAGGCACATTGACTTGACAAGCAGAGTCTTGTTTGCACAGAAACACTGAACCATGAAATGCCTCAAACACCCACACGTATTAATTGACAGGCACTCCACGGTGGAAAAAAAAAAGCATTTTGGAGAAGGTTGTGTGGAGACCTCAGAGCACCTTCCAGGATATGAAGGGGCTTCAGGGAAGCCAGAGAGGGACTGTGTTAGGAGCTGAAGTGACAGGACAAGGGGCAATGGGCACAAATTGAAAGAGGGGAAATTTAGGTTAGATATTAGGAAAATGTTTTTTCCTGTGAGGGTGGAGAGACACTGGCACAGGTTGCTCAGGGAGGTAGTAGATGCCCCAACTCTGGCATTTGAGCAGCTTGGTCTGGTGAGAGATGTCCCTGCCCAGGGCAGGGGGTTGGGATTAGATGATCTGTAAGGTCCATTCCAATCCCTAAAATTCTATGATTCTGTGGGAACAGTGGATCTTTGACTAGTAGCTTGTAGGCAAAGGGTTCTGTGGTTCAAGACGCTGTTGTGTGTAGGAAAAGTGGGATTTCAATGCTAGTTATGCAACGATCCTTTCTGCCACCTCAAGCCACCCCAAACCTCATATATTGAACAGGTTTTACTTGGAGGTGAGCAACCATTGCTACTTGCAAAAAGCAAGCAAGAAAAGCTCAAATCAAATTGTAACCAGCACTTCCAAAGTTCATGCTATGTCAGATTTGCTGCATAGCTTCCCAAACCAGCTGCATTGCTCTTGTCAGGGTTACATCACCAGAACCATTGCTGGCTGTCAACACTCATAGCAAATGGGTTGGAATAGGAAACTTGACATTTCAGGACTGCCTTACCTGCTAAGCTGTAGGTTATTCCAGGACAGGTTGTCCTCAGGCTTCTCTGCTGGTTTTATTTTACTTCGTCTAAAAAACCTGAACCACCAAATAAGCAATTTATTTTAATTCACATCATATAAAATATCTGAACTACCAAGTGAGCAAGCAGGTCTGGAGATGAGGGCTCTCTCCAGGTAATAGGAAACATGATTTTGAATTCTTAGCAGAAGGGATTGTTCATGAAAAGCTTTATTTTCCTCTTTTTTTTTTGAGCAATCAATTCAGTTCACTGCAGACTGAATTGCAGTTTCTCCACTGCTTCAGACCAGCTCTGCTGCCAGGTTTCAGACCAAGCTGACCAAAATGGAGTTTTCCAGGGTAGTGGTTCCTTTCCCAGGCAGGCTGGAGGTGATGACATACTGGATTCAGAATGACAGGCTTCAGGTAGGCTACTTCCCAAAACTTTTATGTGCCACACACAACTGGTGTGCATCACATGCTCTGTGCTGCATAAAGGGCTGAACGGGTGCTGAGTGGTCAGGCACTGCAGCTAGATAAAACACAGCTTTGTAGTACACACAGAGTGGCACAGGGGGACATGTTCTGCTGACCTGCTTAATCTCACAGCATCTCACCTCCACTGCAGCCTACAGCAGCTGCAATACAATCAGACAAGTAAAACTTGATAGAAGATAAGTTTTCTTTCCATATAGTTTGTGAGGGAGTCAGAAAGTCAGGGAGAAAGAAAACTTCATTCAATCTCATTCAATCTCAGAGAAAGAATCCAAGTCCACTTTCCTCACCTTACCTGCAGCATGTTCATGCCACGCCTGGACAGGGAAAACCAGTATGAAGTCAAATATAGCTCAGGTCAAACTGGAGCATTGCACGCTGGTTCTGTACTAGAGGTGAAGGTGAAGGCAATACATTACCATTTCAGGCCAGTTAGATGGTACTTGAAGGTCTTGGGAGAAAGTTAATTTGGGTCTCATTTGGCCAAAACTGAGGCAGCTGCAATGTCATAGAACCACAGAATTCTTAAGGTTGGAAAAGACCTCTAAGGTTGAGTCCAACCATTAGTAAGTTCATTTTAGTCAACAGTAAGTACAATTTTTAGTAAGCACATTTTTACTGTGCCTATTGACACATCATGTCGTGCTATAGTTTGTATATGCAGACATTTAATCACTCTTAATCTAAGGAAATTCCTTCTATTGGATGTCAACCTAAAAGACAATTTCTCTTGAGTTTCTCCATTCTAAATTTTCAATCCTTGAGCCACAGCACTGAAAAGCAGAGGAAGACTCTTACCCATCAATTAATTTCCTTTATTTCACAAGCTTTGAATTCAGAAATTGAACCACAACTAGTAGATCTTGATACGGTAGAGTAAGTAAAAATGCATGTGATTACAAAGGAAAAAATTTGTACAAAAAACTTTAAAAATCCGACAGCAACTTGGATTATCTGTAAGTACCAAAAATCTCATGCAGAAGGAGAGCACTACTGCCCAGATGGAGAAATCCCTGCAGGGGTGGCAATGGCATTGGTATGTAAAAATTATGGCTCTGTCTGAAATGGAAACAAGAAGGACACAGACTTGGAATGTACCGAGTGGGAACAGACAGGTGCTACAGAGACCATTAGTCATTCTATGTCCCAGTGATTTTTCTGTGTCAGAGAGAAGTGCTTCTTGGGTTTATAATAAATTAAAGAGTAAACAGAAGCTGCCTATACTACTCTACTGCTTACTTTCAAGATGGCCATTTTCTTCCTTCGTAAGTGTTTTTGGTGGTGTTTCTCAAATACAGACATGAATCTTGGCATTGTGTCTAGTCAATTGTTGGCAATGTGTTCTAAAGGGACTCACTCACGGAATGCAACTTGCATAAATAACTCAGTAACATGCATTAACTACTCTAATACAGCGAAGGGTGCAAAGGAAACACCATTGAGTTACGAGACAAAGCTAAAACCTGTAGTCACTAAAGGGGCAATGGAAGCACCATGCTTTAAGGTGACTATGGCATGAAAGCACAACTGTGAGGCAAGTAGTTCCAAGCAAACACACCACACTATTATCACCTCTTCCTATACAAAAAAAAAAAAAAAAAAGAAAAAAAAAAGACATTTCATTTTTTATTTCCATTAGTACCAAATAAAACTGTGGGCTCGATAACACAGATATTGAAGGGAATGGACATTATTCCCATAATCCTTCATCCTTGTGTTTCTGTCCATCATCATTTTTCAGCCAAGACTGGTAATATTAGAGCGACCACCAGGAGGTGCCACGATGCGGTGACCGGTGCGACGTGGGTTGTTGTCATCTATCTGAGCTCCTGCAACAGAAAAGTAGGGAACAAAGCTATGAAAAGGAAAAAAAACCATCAGCACTGAGATTTTACCTGTCATTGCTTCCCTCAGACCACCATCAGCTGGTTTCTCTTGAGCCAGACCCCTGACTGAAGTGTTAAACAGACCTTCAAGGCACACTTCTGTGCCTAGCTCCAGTTATCTTCAATGAAAAGTGTAGGATTAAATGTCTAGGCTCACATGAATGCTCACCCTACACTGGGAATTGTTTTCCACTGACCTGAAGAGGAGCTCAGGAGAGCCTACAGATTGGGTTCCCTCTGTGAGATCCCTGACAGACAGTGAAACATGTGCAAAGTGGATTTTTCAAACCTGCCTCACTCATTTAGAGTATCTGTCCCTACTGAGTCCATGGGTGGACAGTACAGTAAATCTGATGTTAGCAATCATAAATCCATGAGGAAAGGAGCCCTGAGCTGATGAGAACTCATACCCACTTCAAACTGCATTTTAAAATGCTGAAAGGTTCAGCTTAACAAGTTTTCTGCCAGGCTAAATATTGTCTGGTCACCCTCAGCTTCCTAAAGGCAGTGTAAGACTACCATAAATGTGTGGGATCATTTAAAATGTTGTCGTAGTCTTTGGTTCTGCCAAATGTCATAGGAGCACAGTAATGTGTGTTTGCATCATTCAGATCAAATTTGTACTACTAGATGCCTTGGTAGTACCCAGATCCAGCAGTGGACTGTGAAATCTTAGCTTCAGATGCTTATGAAAATCCCACTTACCCATTGTTATTAAGAGGTCAAATTTCTAAATGCTTTTTTTTTGCTTAACATATATACATATATATCTGTACATGCTCACCATGGCCCCAGAGGTATGGCCAAAAATATACTTCAACTCACTAGAAGGGTTTCTAAAACATTCCCTCTCCTTGGACTTTCTTCGAGGAGTTTCGTTTAGTTTCTAAAGACAGGATCTGTCAGGGAGGAAAACTCCACCATCAGCTCCCACAAGAGAGAAAATCCAGTGACTTTCATAACATCACACAGAGGCATTATTCACCACTGGGGCTGTAGACTTTTGAAGGAGAAGGATTTGACACACTTGTAATTGTCTTCAGACAACCAGAATTACTTCTAGCAACCCCAGAGGATGACTTTCCAGTCTGTTTCTTATGTACCATGGAAAATGTTTCAGGCACCAAGAGCAAAGAGGACAAGAAATACTCCGATGTGCACATGAACAACTTCTGCACACGGTTTATGGCCATGGACAAGGACAGTTGAGGTTTCCATGTCCAGCAGTTTCTGGGAATGCAGTAAGAACAATCTGAAATGTCTGAGCCACATGGGTTGCACCAGACACAAGTCCCAACAGGTGCAAAAACTGCTAAGGGGCTTCAGTCACATCAAGCACCAGAACTGAGCTAACTGCAATGGGCCAGGTAGATAATAGTGAAAGATTGACACAGAGAAAAATTTTATATTGC